CCAGGATTTGAACCCAAGCCTTCCGAATGGTAGTACGCACTGCTAACCACTAGCCTACCGTAGCCGAATATTTCCCCCTCTTAACCATTAAACTCTTAACACCACCCCCTACAGCTCAGATTGTGACGTCGCACTTCCGCAGATTCTCAATTTCACAAAAATATTGTCTGCTGCACAAAATCATAACATCTTCTAGGCGTTCCCACATGCTTTTGATAGCTGTCCTGTGGATTTGCACATTTAAGCAACGTCTAATTATACCAGGTAATGTATACTTTAAGGCGTTTACACAAATTTTTTACTTCGCGTTTTCCCAACCAACCAAATACAATTGAATTCTCACAACACTACGGGCTACAGCATATACATATACATATATATATACATATATAAATATATATAATGATAAGCGTGTAATAAATGTTTCAGTTACAAATTTGCTGCAGGCAAAATATTTATATATGTGTGTAATTGTAAAAAAATACATATTTGAAAATCACATAATGTCACCACAGGACATTAGCGGAACATTTCTGACGTACACACTGACGTCGCTATGTGCAGCAGGCCATTGGTGACAAACAAAAACAGTCAATGGTTTGACGTTGAGGTAAAAGTAAAACGACGACAGTAATAACAACAATGTATTAGTTGCTTAAACTGCAAATCAATTACATTGATGCCAATTGGTAAAAGAAAAATATTTTATTTTGAAAATATTCTGTTTCACTCATACCCACTTCTCAAATACGAAACACGCATATTAATCCTGAAATATTTTTAATTCAATGATAAGTAATTTGATGCTTATATAATTGAAGATGTGAAATAAATATATATTGTGTGTATGTGCGTAAATGTGAGTTTTACATCGCTCCATTGCGCAGCATTCAAGTAGGAAATTTCAAAAGCAAGCCAACAATAATGTACCACGTCCTCGTCCTCGTCCTCGTCCTTTCATTTTTTGCTTTGGAATATCCCGCTGTGCGCACGCAGCAGCTCAGCCTTCGCAGACATATCGTTGTGAGTTGTGAAAAATTATTAATTTGAGGCTCATTAAAATTTGATTACACGTTACGGTATATTTAATATACATTTTACAAGGGTCGACAACTGGTCTTGATTCTATGCCTATGCGTGTGTAGCTACTTATGTAGTACATATGTATATATTATGTATTCCTTAAAGTATAATGATCTTTTAGGTCTGTTTCTTAAAGATCGCTATATTGTTGCAAAGTTTTTATTGTTGTTCGAAATAATTGGAACTGAAATTAAATTGCGTTTTGAGCTCGCTTTTGATGTGTGAAAATGAAAAACAAAAGTTTTAAGTAAGTGATCATCACTCAGTCGATAGTTTAGTCGATATGAAGTCGGAGGAGCCTAAGAGAGAATTTTTTGGCAACAGAAACATTTGTGTATCGGGTTTTCGAAGTTAATTGGTTATCTCATTAGTTAGATGTTTTTGAAATATGGAAGTTTTAGCGCCTCCAAGCTAAGCGCAGCTATGCCAAAAATCGAATTAATCGGTAATTTCTTTAATTGAATCAAAATCTCAATTTTGACTAATCTCAATCATAACAAATTCATCTCCGAGTTTGCTGAAATAAAATGAAAAAAAAATTACCTCTTATTTCAATCAAAATTCTTATTAATTGAAATATCGGAAAAAAATATACGAACAAAAAATAAGACAATAAAATGAATTTAAATATTTCTAAAGCTTTATCATTAACATAATTAGTCAATTTAGAAAAAACTGAATTATTTCAATTAGTTTTAATTATTTTCCTACATAATAAATAGTTTGCATTGCTACTACCATACGAGAGGGCAGGATTCGAGTTCTGCTCAAACCAACACCAACAAAATTTTAGAAAATTAAATTAAACTCAAAATTAAGTTAATTTTTCTATTTGAGATATTTGTATATATATATATATTATAGGTCTAGTAGAAATACTCCAATATTTTTGCATTAAATTGAAGGCCTTATTCAGCAAAGTTAGAATTATCCGATTTATTTCAATTATGCACCGTTTTTTCGATACCGTTTTGCCATTTTTAATGTTATTATGCCTCTCTCATAGAAACCCTTGTCCCTATTGACAGAAAAATTCAGACAGTCGATTCTAACAGCCTTTTTTTGCTGCCAATTCCCCACCAGCCAAATTATTCGGCAAAGACAAAAGCTCTCTCTCTCTCTCTCGGAGCTTCTAGTCAGTTGCTATCGATGTGTGTAGCCTGGTATTGTATTGATGCAGCGCTATAACACTCCCATTGCGATTGCTTCTTTCAAACGGTCTCAAACGGTCTCAAAAGGATTGCTTGCAGCCCAGGCCCGATCTCAGTGTTTGCCCGCTTATAGAAGGCGAAACCTTGTCTATCTCCTCAAACAACCAACAAAACCTTCCTGACCGTCAATCCTGGCTGGAACCCGTTTGTGTCTGTACCTGCCTTTTTCAAGTTTTCCAAACTGTTTTTTCTGCGAGCAATTGCAACAGTGCTCTCATGACAGTCCGACTCGGCGATTGCCATTATTTTATCGGCATTTTCGACAATCGGCTTTCCACACCTTGGACCATCTTTTAGATATAAATTACCAGAACGAAATCGACGTAGTCAAATTATTCACATTTTCAGCTGCTTGACTTTCGGCTTCGCCTTTGTCGAAGAAAGATTGGCGAATATTGAGTATTTTTTTTTTTGCTGGTGTCCATCTTTGACATGCGCTCAAACACTACTAAGTTAAGTGATCAGCACTTCTCCCGTTCTCTTTTTTAATACGAAATGTCATGATCACAATAATAAATTTAACCCATAAAAGGTTATTTAAACTTAATTTAATTATTTATTTTAACCAAAAAACGAATCAAAAATTCTAATTAATCGAGTAGAAACTTTGAATTACTTGCATTTCTTTATTGAATATTTTCATAAATTAATCAATGATTAAATTTATATTAAAATGGACGATGAAAATAACTAATATCTCCCAGGCTCGCTTTTGACGACATGTCACCGAGTTGACTTTAACTAAAGCCATAAAGAAGAAGCAGCCTTCGAAAAAGCATCAACACAACAGGACATCGTTTAACGGTGAATTTTCCAATAAAACTTTTCCCGACGGCCTAAGGCACACGAAAGGACTGTACAAATTGCAAGACAATTATGTTGAACTAAAGTGCATTATTTCCAGCGCCATGGTTTAATGACTATTTGTGATGTTTTGACAGGTCTCACTAGGAATCCCGAAAAGAATCTGACTCACAAACACCCTAATTAACTAGTGGCCTCTTTTCTACGAGCTTAGGCAACCTAAACCATATTTCCAAGAAAACTAACAATCAAAAAAAATCTCATACGCAATTAAAATAGCTGTTTTATAACATCTAAAGCATACCCCTGCTGTACAGAGGCTAAGCTGTCGTAAGAGACGACTAAAATCTAATAGTTCCAGCAACAACAAAAGCTTGAACGGTGATTGACCCGCCATTGGTGGTGTGCGTCTTAAATTTTTTTCAGCAAATGGAGGGAGTTTATTCCAAGCCGCCTTCGAATGGCCGATTAATTTTTATAAGGAGCTTTTATATCATGTCAAAAATACACTCGGGGGGGGGTTGACACTCGCTGCCGAGTGGTGGTCGTAATTAGAAAAAATATCATTCTTCTACTACTGTGTGTGGCACAAATATAAGAAAACGTGTTGGAAAGTGTTAATGAAAATCATTTCTTTTATACCGGCAGCCGTCGCTAACTCCCTCAATTATATACAAGTTGTTATATAATACGATAGTAAAATCACCAGACTCAAAGTGATAAAATTTCTCGTCGAAGTCTAACTTATAAAAGAGTCCAAACAGATAATGTGTTGCATAAATTTAATTTCTCAACTGAAAAATCAGCGCAACCAGCTTAAAACTTTGGAGAGTATTTTGCATAGATGAGGCATAGTTTTAGGCGCTGATTTTACTTAAAAAAAATCATGGCTAATAATTTATTTATTAAATAAGACTTCTTTAGTTACTAATGAGTTTGTGAAAAAATATCAAAATGGTCGAACAAATATTAAAAATAAATTTTAAATAACGAAAATTAATAAATGCTTGAGGTTGCATAGCTTGAGCGGTCTTTTCTTTTCCATGTTTTTAGAAAATAAATGATAGTTGTCACTTTTGAAGCTGTCTTTTTTGGGGATTGTGATAGTGATAAAAATGGAACGATACACACTTCAAGAAGGCATTAAAATTATTAAAAAAAAAAATCATCACGAAATCATATTGACCGATGAGACTCATTTTCCCCCCAATGCCTATGTCAATAAGCACAAATGTCGCAAATGGGCTTCGAAAAAGATTTATTGTTGCAAAGCCTCTCCATCCTCTACGTACTCGTATAACTATCTGGTGCGGATTATGTTCCGGCAGGGGTCATTGACCCTTATTTTTATGAATTGCACTATGAAGAGAAGAATAATAATTTTTTATTGCTGGAATTGGATGGAATTGATCGGGATAACGTTTACTTTCAAGCAACATAACCACCGATCTTGGAAGAGAAAAGTTTTCTTAAAGAGGTGATCGCAATTGGTGGCGCCGAAATCCTGGAATTTAACACCTTAAAACTTTTTCCTTGACGCCACGTGAAGTTCACACCAACGTTGATTACAAACCTCAAAGATGGAATTCGTGAAGCTGTTGAGGGCACTTGTGATTTTGTAATGGAAAATTCGATAAAAGGCATACGGTCTTATAATCCTCCTCCATTTATCTCAATAAATTCCATTTATCTTTGAATATAAAAATCACCTCTTTTTGGGAAGCTCTGTATCTTTAAAAATAATTTTTTATTCGTTCTGCTATTATGCTTTATGTAAATAATTTAAATATCTAATTTATTTATTAAATATAATTAACTTATATTCAATTATTAAGATTTATAATAATTATTTATAATTAATAGTATAAATGATATCCAATATATTTAATACCAACAACTAACCTCTTCGCTTTGTTTGTGTACCCAGAATCTGATCGATGCTGTAGACAGCGCGTGGCCTTGAGACTGGGCCATCCTGTACTGGACGCAAGCCCGGCGCGATGATGGGATGAGAAGCGCTGGTTGATATCATCTTTAAAATTATTTTTATTTATAATTTTTTATTAATTATTTTTATTTTTTAATTCAATTATTTTTTGATTTGCACAGTTTTCTTTAGTTTTCTTTGAAGTATTAGCAACAGCAAACTCTCTATGTACACATACATACATACAAGTTCAAGTTATTTTCTATTTTGTTATAGTAAATAAATCACTGTTAATTCAGTTATTTAATTGCACTTTTTAAACAATTATTATTATTTTTTTTTTGTTGTTTCTTGTTAATAATATTTTCACAGTATAATTTGTTAACAATTAACTTAACACTGTTAATTCAGCAACACCTTTGACTGGCACACGTTGCGTTTTTGTTTTTCAAGAATCGAGTTTCCCGCGCGCACGCCTGTGTTTGTGCAATTAACGTTACGACCAACAACCACCGACTGACACAGTCACAGCATGGACTTTGATATTTCAATGAGTTACCGACTCTAAAATGCGTCAGCCAAGCCGAACGAACAATCGGCAAGTGTCTGAGCGAAATGGCAGTACGCAAGCGGCGCAAGTAGGTCCTGCGATGCGTTGCCAACGGGTGTGACAGTCTGTTGTCCTGAGCTCTGTTGCTGTGTGTCAAATGTGTAAGGAAAAGCGAAATAACTGAATGAGTATCCTGCAGCGCATTATCTCTCTCGCACCCGTGTATGTGCGCCAACAAGATGCGTAGGGTAGGTTTCCGGTTGTTGTTGTTAGTCATTGTAATGGGTTTGCAGGTAGAGGCGCTGTTGAGATACACTAAGGGGTGTTGCCACACAGAGGCACGCGTACACATAAACAATTACACAAATACTTTGTTAATGTGTGCTGTACAGACATATCCATACATAGATAAATTTATACAATCAAACTCACAAACACAAGCACACACACACGGCAAAAAGTCACCGACTCAACGCCATTGCGCTGCTAAGAGAAAATGAGAAATTATCACAATATGAAATGTTGAAATGTGTTGGTGAGTGAGGGAGCACAAAAAATAACAAACAAATTGTTGAATTGGCTTTCGGCTTATTTTCCATGGTGATAAAACCAATGCGTTATCAATCAATCGCTACAATAATAACAAAACAAATACTCGCGAATAAATAAATTGCGCTCAGCTATCCAACTCGCTGTTCTCTTTATTCTCTCGCAAATACATTATTTGCAAGTAATGTATTTCGCAAATTAACTCAAATTCACTTCGAAATCACTAATCTCTATCGAATTAAGTTTATTATAATGAAATAATATGTATTTATGTATGTATATGCACAACAATATATAGTTGACGTCTTCTAAGGGTATATGTATGTACAATGTAAAGAGGACCCGTGTGACAGTTGGTTTGTTCTTTATACATTCGAAAATTAACTGCGCCGTGATATCTCGTCTCCAACCAAGAGTGCACTTTATCTTAAAGAAGGAATTTGCGCTAAAAGAAGACTCTGAATGTAATGTCAGAAAAATCTCTCGCCAGAAGCTATTGCGAGCTCTGTAAAATATAATTAAAGTTCAATTAAATTTACTTTCAACTGTTGTTAATGGGGCTTTCGAATTTGGTATACCTGGAAATTCCTAAAGAGTATCAAATATTCTTTAGGGTTAGAATTATCCAAGCCGATCGGAACCTGTTTCATTCTACTGGCAGCGAAAATATCATAAATTGCAAAACTAAATTCAAAAATCGAATAATTTTTGACCACAACAATCGTACCGTTATATTTGATTTCTCCAAACTCCGAACTCCAGTGATAGACAATAACTTCTCTCTGCTACGCCCTAGCCAAACTTTAAGAGATGATAGCAAAGCTTAGTATTTTCAGATAAAACAAATATTTATTGCAAGTTAAAGACTACACAAAAATGGTGATTCAAACGTGGCTACATTTCATGCCTTAAGAGGAGATTGTGGTACACTCAGCCGTCCAACTACTCAAGTAACGTTTACATACTCTCTACTATAAGCGAAAGTATAGTCCAAGTTTCGAATGTGTCTATTTCTTAACGTTCTCATGTGCTGGGACTTTCTTGTAAGACGTTCTTGGCGTATTTTTCGCTTGGACTTAGACCTCCCTCTTCTTCTTCTTTACTGCCGTAGACACCACTTACGCGATTGGCGCCAATTGGAGTTACCAAGTACAGCTTGTTCCTTCTCTACCAGGTCTTTCTAACGGAGTGGAGGTATTCCCATTCCTCTGCTTCCACGTGCGGGTACTTCATTGAAAACTTTCTAAGCTGCAGTATCCTTATCCATCCGGGCCACGTGATATAGCCAGCACTGTCGCTGTCTACATATGACAATGCCGCCGTATATATTATACAGCTCATCATTTTATCGGCTGCGGTAGAGAACCTTAAATCTAACACTGACTCATCAGATGTTGTAATGGTCCATACTTCCGCCACATATTGCAGGACGGGAACGATAAGGAACTTGTTGTTTGATCTGTGTTCGTCGAGAGAGGGTTTAACTTTTCAATTGTCTAATCAGTCCAAAGTAGCACTTGTTGGTAAGAACGATTCTTCGTTAGGTTTCTAAGCTGACTTTGTTACTGGTTCCTAAATAGAGGAAGTTATCTACGACTCCAATGTTATGACTGTCAACAGTAACGTGGGTACCAAGTCACGAATGCAATGATTGTTTGTTTGATAACAGGAGATGTTTCGTCTTGTCCTCGCTCACTACAAAACCCATATCCTTCAACTCCTTATCCAGTCTGGAGCTTACATAACAACTGAAAATAGCTTACCCCTCACATTTCTCACTGGTGGGATACGTAAATAGGCAAACAGGTCGCATTTGGGGCTCCGGGAATACTCAAACAAGAGAAGAGGGTCCAATACACCCAAGGCATTCGCCATCAATTGGGAGCATTATAGTCGAATGATAATCAACCCTGCTTTTTGGCCTGCAATTGTAGAACACGTCTTGGACAATATGTGGTGTCCCATATCACAAAAGACGAGAAAATATGGTTTTCATGCGAGAGAAATATCCCGGGCAAGTTATCTCTCGTCTTGGCAATGTCAATTGGCCACCGAGATCGTGCGATTTGGCTCCGTTGGACTTTTTTTGTGGAACTAAACACCATGTTTATGCGAATAAACCTTTTGCTCTTGGCTGCCCGAAAATCAACATTCTTCAAGCTATTGCTAAGATACCGCCCAACATGTGCCAAGTGTCATCGAAAATTGGCTCTAAGGGATCGAAGTTTGCTGAAATTACCAAGGAGGTCATTTGAATGATATAGTTTTACACATATGTATTATCTCATGGACCAAACTCTAACTTCAATAATTATTTCAAATGTATTTTTACGACATTTATTTTCGAAACAACAAAATGGATAGCTCTGTAGATATTAGTCGTATCTAAAACACAAATATATAATAATATATATATAATATATGGTTCACTTAATATAAATTTAAATAATAAATATATAATAGAAAACGAAATATGTGTGAAAGAAAATATAGATCCATCGGGTAGAGGAGAGAGGGATCCTGAAAGCTTAGAATACAAACACGTGGTTTATGGGCAATCGTTTAGCTGATTCGCCTACCCCAATTCAGAAGAATGATTCCGAAAATTTTATCATTTCATTTGTTTGTACGAAAATCTTTAAAAAGTAATCGAAAGGGCTCACCTAGCCGTAGAAAAGCAAGTAGATTTCTAGCAAAGCAATCTTTCCAGAGAGTAAACTCAAGTTAATTTTTAAAACCTTTATACTTTTTTGACTAAAGTAAAAGTGTTAGAATTATTTATCGGTTAAATATTATTGGCCGTTCAAATCCTTTGAAATTTTCCAAAATTCTTGATATCTTCTGTTCACTGATCACACTTTAAATCAAATATTCCTCAAAAACACAGAATACTGTTAATGATTCAAATACAAATACTTCATTTTAGTGGCAAATGTAAGATTTGGCGAAGGAAAAACGGTAAATCTCTTCATTCAAACAATTTTGAGAATTTCCAAAATAATACTAAAACTCGTTAAGGCTTTGTGAAGGCGTGAATCATGCAGATCACGAAGTAAACAAATGTATAGGAGACAGAGACCTTTATTGGCCGCGAATTTTATTCCTTTTTTTTGCTAAAACTGGGCAAGACTTCGGCCTAGACCAGACAATTCTTCTCACAATAAGTGTTGATATATGCGTCTTCTGACTTCCATTGACTTTGATCAAGCAAGTAGACACTTGAAGGAAGAAAGAGTGACGGTTCGCTCAAGGTCATATCTCTTAGTTGCGTTTAGTACAACTTTTTACCAAGGAAATGGCGTAAATTCAAAATAAATTGAAATATAATATAAAATAAACATTCAAGGACTTTCACAAGGCGTGGTAAATAATGAGAGCACAACATTACCACAAGGTGTAAAAAGCCTCATTCACTCAAGAAAGAAAGTAAGAGTTAAGGTTATACTAAGCCCAGCCTGGTTTTTATTGAAATTGCTTTAATGTTTCTACAAAAACTCAATGTGGAAAATAAGCAAAAAATAAAATGGAATAAAATTTCAAAAACATTTTTATAAATAAATTAAGTAAAACATAGAAATATTAAACAAAAAGAAATAAGAAAAAATACAATAAAACTAAATAAAGTGTATTAAATTAAATTTAAATTAAACAAAAAAGAATGAAGTAAATTGAACAAATAAAATGAAATTAAATAAAAATAAGGTAAAATAAAATGAAATAAAGCATACTTTAATAAAATTAAAATAAAATAACAATAAATAATAATTTAAGTTAAATTAAATTAAATAAAGAGATCAATAAATTAAATTAAAATAAAGTCTAATATACAAATGTTATAAGATAATATAATTACGGTAAAATTAAGTAAATTAAAGCATACTATATTAAATAAAATAAAATAAATCAGATTAAATTGAGTAAAAGAATTATATTCAAATTAAAAAAAAGTAAAAAAAAAAATTAAAATAATAGTAACCAAAGGAAAATAACTTTAATTTAAGCCAAATTAAATTATTTTAAAATAAATAACTATTATTAAAATAAATATTATTAGAAAAAAA